TCCCCGCCGCGACCCCGCCGCACAGGCCAGCAGCTGCCGCACATCTGGCCGGGCGCCCGCCGCCCGCTCCCCAGCGGGGAGTCCCACCTGCCGCCCGCCCTCCCCGCACTCACCCTCCGCTCGTACTGCGCGTTGAGGTCGTCCGCCATCCGCCGCAGCTGCGCCCCGATCTCCCGGGCCCACTGCTCCTCCTCCCCCCGGACCCCGGGGGCCGCCTGGGTGGGACCGCCCGCCAGGGCCTCCGGGGCGCTGGGCACGGGCGACTCTAGGTGCTGCTCGGCCGCCGAGAGGGGTGGCTGAGGACCTGGGGGAGGCGGAGGGGCGTGGTCACCACCTGCCACCCTCGGCGCCCCGAGGTGTGGAGGGGAACCCAGGTCCCCAGGGCCTGCCTCTCCCGGTTCCCCGCCGCCCGCTTTCTCCTCCGCCCTCCCCCGCAGCAGCCTCATTTCTAGCCATTCCGTCCTCTCAGGACCAGGTTTGTCAGCTCCTCCCCGCCACGAATCAGAAGGCCAGGGAGGGTCCTGGGGAGGCGGCCCTGGGGCCACCTGTCCGGCCAGCTACCTCCCCAAGGCCGGGTCCGCCTGGAAGTCCTTCCTCTTAGCCAGCCTAATACCTCCACTCCAAAACAGGGCCAAATCTTGCGGCTGTATTTGACAGACAGGCAAGCTGGCCCCCCTCCAAGAGGCCAAGGTCACGCAGGGATACAGTGACTGACCCCACCCAGAGTCACAAGCCTCAGGTCTCCTGCCCTCTGGTGTCCAACCGCAGGGAGGCCACACCTCCGGATGTGGCAGAGGCCGGGAGACCAGAAGGCCAGACGCGCTTCCAGAGAGCCAGGCCTGGGGGCTGGGACCCCGGAGCTGCCTCCTGCCCACCCCCCTCCAAGCTTTTGGGAGTCCTGCCCCCCTGTCAAGCCGGGTCCTGGCAGGAGGGCTCCCTAAGGCCTAAAACCAGTGCCTCAGCTACTACATCTGTGACTCTGATCCCCAAGTCCCGGGTACCCCAGCTAGTGGCCAGGAGCTGAGCTTGGGAAGTTTTCTCTTTCCCTGCTGCCTGGGCTCCGGGCACAAAAGGGGGTCGGGAAGGGAAACCAGGACGGTCATTCCCGCTGCCAGGCACCACAGGGTTAACAGCCCATCAGGCAGGGGACCTTTAACCCTTCCCTCCCCGAGACTCACCCTCTCCCCAAGGGGACTTTCCCAACACAATGGCCCCTCCCCCCTTCCGTCTCGGGGCTGCAGCCTAGGCCAGCTCTGGCCAAAGAGATGCAAATAAAGGCAAAAGGCCCCTCTGCCCCTCCCCAAAGTCTGGAGGTGACGATCCTCCCACTCTGCCCACACGCTTTCCCACTGCGATCGCCCAGGTCTGGGGGGATCTGGGCTGGGGGAGGGGAGCTGGGAAACAGCTGTTGCCCGAGGCCCGGAAAAGGCCGTGGGCTGCAGCTCCGAGACTGCAGTCAGATTCCAGGAGGGACTTCCCACTCGACCTCCCCCTCCATCCCCGTCTCCCACCCCGGCTTCCTGCTTCTCTAAACACAAAGACCACACTGGCCACACCCTCCCAGTGGCCCTCCTCCGCCGGCCACCTCCCCCTTCGTCCCACTCTAGTTCTTCGAGTCTCCGCGACCCTGGCTTTCCCCGGCTGCTCTTCCGGGGTGCGGGGCAGGCACTCACCATCAGGGCGCGGGCCTCGGGGCCGGCTGCGGGGGCCCCCAGGCCAGCGGGGGCCCCCCAGTGCGGCTGTAAGGGCGGGTGGTGCGGTGGGGGCGCAGAGGTAGGCCGCGGGCAGCAGGGCAGGGGTGGTGGTGGGGGCAGCAGGAAGGCCGGGTTCGCAGAGACCGCAGGACACAGCTGAGGGCACCAGGCGGCCGAGGGGGAAGGGGCGAGGGCCGTCGCGGGCCAGGCCCTCTACGGGCTCCGGAGAGCTGCCCTCCTGGCGTGCACGGGCCATGGCGCTCCCTGGGGCCTGCGGGACACAGGGAACGTCAGCGGGAGGCAGGGACCAAGCCCCCATGGCGCACACACTTTACCCGTTCACGCTGGGCCCCGATGGAGGAGAGTGGGTGCGTGGCAGGGGACGGAGATGGCCCCACAAGACCCACCCGACTAGGGGATGACACAGGGTTCTGCTGGCCAGGAGCCTTGGGGCACAAGGTGATGAGCAGGGAGGACAGGACCCCCATGGAAGGGGGTGTGTCTGAGGGTGGTGACAGCCCTGCCATGCAAACTCCATGCAAACTCGGCTGCCGGATTCACACGGGCACGGCTAGTTGGGACAACTTGCCCAACACAGTGACAGGCACACACAGAGCAGCGAGGGTTCCCTGCAGACACACGGGGCTCCCACAGGGCCCGGACCAGGAGGGCAGCTGGGGCATGTATGCGGTGTGTGCAGGGTACACAACACGAACACACAAGGACCCACAGACCTGCCAGGCTGGCCGCCCACTTACACACAGAGATGTCCCACGCAGGCACACTGCCACTCAGTACTCCAGGAGCACACACAGACCATCACAACCGTGTCCACACTGCACACTCCATCCCCCGCCCCAGGGACACACACGCTCAGAACCTTACACACCACCCCGCAGCTGATACACCCAGGACACACACACAATGCAGCCATCACAAGCAGGAGCAGAAACACACGCGAAATAGGCATCTCCGCAAGTCTCCAGCAGCCTGCCCCTCTGTGCTCAGACACACCCCCCCAGACACCAGAGGACCGCAGGGCACACAGCAGACACCAGCACTCAGACCTCCAAAACACACCCGCAGGTCCCCAACTCAGCCCAGGGACACACGTCAACAGCCCCAGGCGCACCACACACGCCAGCGGTGACACACAGACACACCAGCAGAGCAGCAGACAGCAGCCCTCCGCCCTCCCGTCCCAGCCCCAAAACACTGTCACCAACTGTCAGCACCAGCACTGGAGTGCTTGGGGGCGCACGCGCACACACACAAACACACACACACACACCACAGCTAACTCTAATCCCGCGCAGCCCAGCACACACACACACCTAAAGCGCTGGCAGAAAACACTGGTCTCACGTGACTGACATAAACACTACACACACGCAGCCACATGACACACATGAGCCAGCCGATCACAGTGACAAGCCCTTCAGACCCAGCACACGCACACAGACACACACACACACGCACACACACACAGACGCACACAGACTCAGACAGGCTGCCAGCAACACCCACTAAATGCACTGCATGGACCCCAGTTCCCGGACAGTCTAGCCAAGCGCTGACCAGACAAGCCTCTGTCACACGCCACACACAACTCAGACGCCTGGACAGAAAACACATCAGCCCTCGGCAGCCAAGCACAGCGTCACAAACACTGGCAAAGACACATGCCCCGGAGACAGTCCACACACGCAAGACAAGGCACACACCGACAGCACACATTCGGGCATCACACGCGGATAAACACAAGGAGCTCGCTCAAGCAACACAAACACACAACTACACCCAGCGGCACATGCAGGCGGCAGACCCGCGGACTCAGCCCCCCACAGAACGCACGGACAACTCTCACAGAGAACACACACGCACAGGTGCACCCCACCCGCAGACGCAAGCCCACACAGGCGGGCACTCACGCAGACACCCCGGCGGGTCACGAATCCCCACATTCCTCCGGATTGACACCACCACTCCCTGCAGACCCCAGCACAAACTCGGAGCCAGACACACGCACACACCCAGGCGAGACACCTGCAGATCCACAACCCCGCACACGCGCGCTCCCACGGCGGTCCCAGACGCCCCTCCGCTGTCACAGCCCCCCCACGCCGCCACGTGCGCCTGCCCCGCCCGCCAGGCAAGCGCGGGGCCAATAACCGGCTGTTGCTGGGGCGCAGCCCCCGCCCGCAGGAGCCGCAGATTCCTCGGCCCGCGAGCCGTGAGC